CAATATTTATTTACAGCAACCGGCTTTCGTTCTCTTACAATTTTTCAAATAAGTACATGATGTCGGCTCCGCTTTTTGCACTGCACTGCAATTAATAATACCCACAATTTATACATTATATGTGTATCGTTATTGTGCATACACAATTTTTATATGGAATATCAAAAGGTGCTATGAATTAATGAGGAAAACCGTTTAATTACAAGACTTTATTTTTTAAAAGGCAAAGTAAAAATTATCTTTATTTAGCTTGACTTGATTCGAGTTTGACTTTAAAACAAAAACACAACATACGTACGCGAAGTGAAAAATATGAAAACGTGCATGGACGGTAATTGCTGATTTTATAATCGTAAATAAATTTATTAGCATAAATGATGCATTAATCATTTAATCTGGTACACGAAACGTAATGTTGGGTGCTACAATGTGTGTGTAGACACTGCTGCTATTTGCCTTAATCTAGAAAATGTGCACATATCGATATGCGACTGCTAAATATGGCATGTGCAAGCAAATATTCATATAATTTTTTCTGTGGTTGTAATTTGCTTAGTAATTGTTTAATTTTTTTGAAAAAAAATTTGTGTCTGATGAAATTGTCAGACAACCTGTGTGTCTTTTAAGGACTCTTTGAGTGTTTCCAATTAGCTTTAATTATTTCTTGTTATAAATTGGACCTTTTTACTTAGTTTTTTTGCTGTGACATGAAACCGCAATTTATTAAAAATATTTAAAAAGCGGCTTGTTTGAGTTCTTTTTGTTTTGTTAAACAGTTTTTGAACTTTTTCTTTTTTCCCTTCATGAAGTTCAGCCTTGCTTCATTTTTGCATCTATTGAAACAATGATTTGCTTCATTTTTGCATCTTTGAATAAAAACTTTGCTTCATTTTTGCATCTACTGAGTTAAAGCTTTGCTTCGTTTTTGCATCTTTGAGTCAATGATTTGCTTCATTTTTGCATCTATTGAGTCAATGATTTGCATCATTTTTGCATCTATTGACTCAATGATTTGCATCATTTTTGCATCTATTGATTCAATGATTTGCATCATTTTTGCATCTATTGAGTCAATGTTTTGTTTCATTTTTCATCTTTGAGTCAATGATTTGCTTCATTTTTGCATCTTTTAATAAAAACTTTACTTCATTTTTGAATCTATTGAGTCAATGATTTGCATCATTTTTGCATCTATTGATTCAATAATTTGCATCATTTTTGCATCTATTGAGTCAATGATTTGCTTCATTTTTACATCTATTGAGTCAATTATTTGCTTCATTTTTGCATCTTTGAGTCAATAATTTGCTTCAGTTTTGCATCTTTGAATCAAAGCTTTGCTTCATTTTTGCATCTTTAAGTCAATGATTTGCTTCATTTTTGCATCTATTGAGTCAATGATTTGCATCATTTTTGCATCTATTAAGTCAATGATTTGTTTCATTTTTGCATCTTTAATTCAATGATCTGCTTCATTTTTGCATCTATTGAGTCAATGATTTGCATCATTTTTGCATCTATTGAGTCAATGATTTGTTCCATTTTTGCATCTTTGAGTCAATGATTTGCTTCATTTTTGCATCTTTGAATAAAAACTTTGCTTCATTTTTGCATCTACTGAGTTAAAGCTTTGCTTCATTATTTTCTGTTTATTTTATTTCGCTCTATTTAAACATCTGTTGTGTCATTTTTCATTATTTCAAGATTCAACTCACTGTATTCTTTTCAAATCATAATTAAGCCTCCAAAAAGATCTCTGGCATCAACCTTAAATCTGGCAATTTGTTGTAAATCACTCCTTTGCTTCATTTTTCCTTCAAGTTCAAACAAAATTTTGCAAATAACAATGATGTTAATAAAAGTTACAAATTGCTTTATGTCAATAAAGCAGAACCCAAATAATTTCTTTCCATTTCAGGCTACCAGCACAAAGATTATTCATTTAAATTATTCAAATTACGCCATTGACTTTGAAAGGCAGAGCAGCAGCTTCCTTAAATTTATTTTTCTTTCGTTTTCTTTTTTAAAAATCTTGACAGTGAAAAAATAAGGCAGCACCAAACAACAATAACTATATTTCTTTTCCCATATGAAGTTCAATAATGTAAGTGAAAGAAATCTCATTAATAAAATCACCTGAAACTGTCTAACGACTCAAAAGAGTAAATCTGTAAAGGTCAAGTTAGTTTAAGATAATTAAGCAGCAAATAATCATTAAATGTGTTTTTTATTCTTCTCTATTCTCTTGTTCTGACATCTTCAAACATGAATCGGTCGGTTGTGATCAGCAATGAGTTCATCTTCTATTGTTCTATTCTATATGAACACATGTATCGATAGATTTCTATCTTGTGATAATGAATGATGCTTTAACTTCTTCTTGTTCTTTTAATTTCTTTTCGTTTTAGCTGGATTTTGTTAAGATGAGGAGACTTTTTGATCATTTTGAGAGAAAAACAAAAAAAAATGTTGAAAGTTTGAGTTTTTGATTTTTTTCGATGCTTGCCAACTTTTTATTTAATCTAAAGCCACAAATCATGAATATATTGTCGATTTAGATAGTTTAAACTCCAAAAAACTTTTTGAAGTGGAGAAAAATCTGCCATTTTGAAGTAGAGTTTTTGATTTTAATTGCAAAAATCAGTTACAAATCTTAAATTTGAAAGGATAACAAATATTAATTGAAAACTACTGAAACCCATCCAAATGAGCTTTACACCCCTCAAATCATTGATTTTTCTACTTGTTAATATTTTTCCATCTTTATAATTTCTTTTTTCATATTTTTCGAACTAAATTAAAATTCCAATAAATTTTCTAGAAGAAGCCAGAGACAGAGAAAGAAAAAAAAATATAAATTTCGGAGTTAGAAAAAGAGAAGCTATTCAGGTTAGTCTAATGAGTTTCATAAATCATACACAATCTATAGATGAATTTCTTTAACCATTTTCAGCTTCAACACGTTTGGCTCTTTTTTTTCTCGTTTAAACAAATGAGACTAAATTACATTTTCAAATGAATCCGCAAACGGTTATAGACAGCGCAAAAAAAGAGAAGCAGCAAAACAAAAAAGACATCAATTAATTAAAAGTCTGAAGCCTAAAAATATTTGTTTAATTCATTAAAACTCCGTTCACTTCATGCCGTGTGATGAGCAATAAAAAATTCTTCTTCTTCTCCTTATTTCATGACTTGCTGCTGTGTGTGTATATGATGGAAAAATGCAAATCACCGCTACACATTATTACCGTAAATGGACCAGTATAAAAGATCCGAAAATACAATGTCGATGAATCGACAAAAAGGCAAATTAACTGTAATTGAAGATCAGTTTAAAGGTGCTGAATGAACAATAAAAAAACACCAATTAATTACATCCATTTCTGTTGAATTTCTTCTTTTATTTGTTTTTTACATCTTTTTTTATTGCTAACATGAGAATTTAATTTCACAATTTTCAAATAATAAAATTTTTTAATGTCAATAGAGATAGATTCTATTTATTAAGTATCGGCCCACATGAATTGAATGGAAAATTATTCGCTAATTTTTTACACATTCCTTTTTTGAAACTCGATGTTTTTTTTTGAATTTCTTTTCTCACGTAAATAATATATTATGGATTGAGAGAACTGGATGAATTTAAAGATTTTGAGCTAATGTAAATCGTTAAAGGATTGGGAGTAATGAGTGGGATGGGTTTAGGACCCTCTTAGACCTCCTTTAACAGACTCATGATAATTTAGCAACAGTTTTTGACAAAAAATATTTAATAAGGAAATTTGGAAAAAAAACTTTTTAATTTTTACTTTTTGCATCATTTTATAATCTTTGATTGTAGAATTTGAACCCAATTTTATCGTTTACTCAAACTTTTTACCATTTAAATTATTTTCTTATATACGGATTAAAGGACAATAAGTTGATATAGTTTGAATTTTCTAAAAAATCATTGACTTTTGATTCTCAACATGACAAAAATCAATCAAAAATTTCAAATTGTTCAAAAAATTGTTCAAAAAATTTTTTTTCGTATTTATTATTTAAAAACCTGTAAAAATATTTACCTTCACAAACAACCTGAAATTAAAACTTTTACTTCCAGAAATGAAAAAAAATTAAAATTCAATATTTAATTGCGGAACATTAAACACATAAAATTCTTTATTCTCTACTAAATGAAACACAAAACAAATTATATATTTTCAATATTGCAAATAATATTATTGGCATTTATTAATTTAATAAATTTATTTATGATTTCTTTATCTTCTGTTATTTAACGCTTATTTTAATATTTTCTTACATCTTTTTTCGGCGCTTTCAACAAAAAATTAAATAAGAAGCTAATTTCATACTTAAAATATATAAAAAATAATGTACAATGTACACATAATAATTTTTTATGACCCGTGTCGATTGCAAATAAAATTAGTATTTATAAAGTAAAGGAATTTTTTTCACTTTGTTTTGTATGTGGAAGTTAATTAAAGAAGATTTATGAGACTTAGAGCATGTCTGTGTCTAAAGAATACTAAGTTTTAGTCAAACTTTGTGAATATTTTTGATTTTTTTTTGAAAATTTATCAGTTTTTGAACTTAAATGATGTTATTTTTTTTCGCTTTTTGATTTTTTTAAAATTTGAATTTCTAAAATCTTAAAAAAAATCGATTTTTGATATTTTGAAATTTCAACCGGTTTTTTTTGATTTTTAAACGTTTTATAATTTAAAAAAAAATAAAAAAACTTAAGAATTCCATCAAATTTAAATTTTTGATGTCTTATTGTATTTTCGTAAATTTTTTGAAAAAAACTTTTTTTTTATTTAAAATGACACAATTTTCATCAATAATCAAATCATAAATATTCAATATTATTTCAAAATAATCTATTTAACGACATTTCTATTACTCAATTACTACACTCTCAAATTACTCAGCTCCAGTTTCATTTCACAATAAATTTTTTGAGCTCAAATAAAATTTGCGAAAATAAAATCAAAGACAATAAAAAAAACATTTTACAGAAATTCAAAATTTTACGATCATTTAAATGTTTTTCAAATAAATAATCATCTTCAAAAGGAACTAATTTGCTTTATGATTGATTAATATTGTTTTTTCTCAGTGTGAGTTTCAATAAATCCAGATTTATAGGTTATTAGTTTGTCTTGGGAAGTGAGGTCGTTGTAGAGTTGGGGGAGAAATTACCAAAAAAATAAAAAGCAGCTCTAATCAAAACACACTATTTTCTTTTCAATTTTGAGATTCGAACTCTTAAACTTTCTAGACTTGAAAATATTCTGTCATTTTCTTATTTGCTCATCCACCTGAGTTACTTGCTACTTCTATGTTTAGTGACAGAATGTCCAACATAAATGATGATCTTTATTGTTTTTGCAAACTAACGCAATATCTTATATCCATTTTAATTTTCAGTTCCAACGGTAGTAAGGAACATCCTGTACGCTCTTGTGAAGTATATGAAATTCTCAAAAAATCCCATCAATTACCCAACTCCAACTCTGCCCTTAACCATCACTTCCTCATCACATACAAAAAACAAAAGCTAAAGACATTAACATAATTCATAATTCCTTCATAAATTTACATTTAAAAATTAATAGCACAGTCAGAAGTTAAATATATATATAAAGTATGTTTGCATGTGTGAATTATTAAAAAGTGGACACAAGAAATAATATTAAAAAATTATAAAGCTAATTTTACTAATTTTTTTTTGTAGCCATATAATTCATGCTACTGGTATCATTCATTAATTTTTCATCATCCCTCATTATTTATTGTATTATTTTATAATTCCTAACATCACACTCGTTCATTGTTGTGTCTAAATGCGATCTAAACAGTCGCCATATGTGAAGCATTAAGTGCCATCCGATTAGCTAACGTATCTAACCTTAAATTCTGGTAATGATGTAGATAAGGATACGGTGTAATGCTATTTGATGCTAATTTCATAGCTAATGGTGACATCATAATAAGCGGATGGATAGGAGGCAGTTCATAGTTTGTAAATTGACGTATTAATTGCTGTTGATGGTGGTGTTGAAGTTGCTGCTGTTGTACGTCAATTGGAATTGCACTATTTGGGAAGCTATCAGCTAGTTGTTGTCTAAATAATGACAAGTTACTCTCCAACGTATCAACCTTAAGCTTCTTGTTAGCATTCTCGTCAGGCTCAATCTCGATGAGACTTTCAATATTGAATTTACGCTTTGGCTTTTTGACAGGTTCTATGACAGTCGTAGCTGTCGGCGTTGGAACTACTGGTATCGGTGAGATTGACTTTGGCGATGCTGGTCTGATGAGTTCATCGTCACATGAGATTGACGGTGATATGCGATGATAATGTGTATCGACAAGTGGAGGTGATGGTGTTGCATATGGAATGTCACAGACTGAATGAGGTGGCATTGGTGTATGGTAAAAGTCATTTGGTGATGTGAAGAATCTATTCATGTTTGCGAGTGCTGCAAACTCTTCATTGAGAACGTCTTTGTCTTGTTTGTGAAGCTTAAAGCGTTTTCTTCTTCTTAATAAACTTCCATTGGCAAACATGTCAAATGCTTTTGGATGGAGTGTCCAATAACTTCCCTTTCCTGGTCGATCGGGACGTCGTGGAACTTTCATGAAACAATCGTTAAAACTAAGGTTGTGTCGCAGTGAATTTTGCCATCGCTGTGTATTGGTTCGATAGTATGTAAATCTGTCTGTAATATATCTGTAAATAAAGTAAAAAGATTTTGTTAATTCTTTATGCCTTGAAGAAAATATTAATTTATTGCTTAGTCGTGATTTTGAATTTTTTGTTAAAATGTAAACAGAAACAATGAAAATAAGTTTGTTGATGAGTCGTGAATGGAGAAGAAGAAGAATCAAATCGTATGCATTGTTTTTTCTTTTTGCAAATTTGCCGACGGAATATCCAAAAAGATAGGAATTAATTTGTTTGTTTTGAAATGTGAATTTATTTTCAGTAGATTTTCGATTATAGTTCTTAAACTTTTAGAAAATCAATTGATTGGATTTTAGCAACACTTAAGTGTGAAGTCTTCATAATTAAGGATTAATAAAGATCAATAGTGGGCTCATAATGGCAAATATTACAATTATAGAAATTTGATCAAAGTAAACATTGCAATTTTAAAAACGTACTTTTTGAATTTGATTTTTTTTTTTGTTCACTGAACATTTTGTTGTTAAAATATTTTCTTGCATACGAAAACTATTCAATTTGTAATTTTAAAAGGATTTAGACTGATATTGGTGAGTTGTAACAAGTGTTTTTATTGAAAATCGAGGTAAGTAATTCATAAGATCCTCTTAATAATCTTTATTTAAGTACAAATGAGTTGAAAATTTGATTTCAAAGATTTTAAATGTAAGAATAAGCTTTAAACAGTCAAAAGATGAGTTACAGGACAAATAATCTGTAAAGAATGTCTGGAATAGTTGTGATTCTATTTAAATAGTACTGTTTTAATCGTCTTTGCCTACTTTGTGTTTCATAGACTTCATCTCAATATTTAATCACACAAAAAAATACTACTTCAAACTTCCAATAAGAAAATTCTTGGAAATAATCTCATCATGACAAAGACACAAGCCTTTGTACTTAAAAGAAACATTTCCGAAAATCGTACAAGCCATAAAACCTTAAAAACGTTTTTTTATTGCTCTTACTTCTCCGTTTTTTTTTGTTCAGATAATTTTTTTATTTAAATATTAATCGACACTTTGTAGTTTTATGGTTGCTAGCTCTGCTGTATTTGCATTTTGCTTACTGTTTACTTAATATTTGATTTATTGAGTTGAAAATCTTGTATTTATTAAAAAAGTGTTGTTTATTTACACAACCATGTGTGAGACTAGTTTGCAGGTATGTGTGCACGTGTGTATAGTAAGATGAGGACGTGAAGTTTTTTATTTTTATTGAATTAAGTTTGATCTTGTTCGATTATTCATGGCTGTTTTAAAAATTGTTTAACACGAGTATAAGTTGTAAAAAAAATTAAAATGGTTCAAAATTAAAATGTTTTAAGCTATAAAAAAATTTATAATCTTAGTAAAATCTCCTAAAACTTAAATATTTAATTAAAATGACTTGAATTTAAAAGAACCCGCAATGTTAATTTTAAAACTCGAAAAAAATCCTTTAAAACATTTTAATACAAATTTAATTGCATTATAAAAATATAAAATAAACTAAAATAAATTTTATTACACCTCGTGAAATATAAAATTTAAGTCAATGCTTTACTAAGTGCCCCGACTTGTCAAATGCAAAACTGTACTATCGAGTATATTGATCAATAAAATCGATCACATGCATCAGGTAAATTTGAAATTATTTATGCAAATTTATTATCCTATATTTGCATTAATAATAAGAGCATGTCTTTAATGATATAATCAAGTCACTCGATATTTATATTTTAAGATGTAAATGCGCCTAATCAATTGCAATCACAAACTGTACTCAATTATAAAACATACACAATTAATCATATTAATGTATGTTAATGGACATCTCACGATCTAAGTCAGTTTTTTTTTTCTCTGGCAAATTGCTTTATTTTGCAGTCATTTTATGCTTGCTTTGTGGTTCTTTTTAAATGCATTCTTTAAATGTCAAAATTTTGTGCTTGTAATGATTCAATGCTTGGATGATTTTGACGGGTTTTGTGAGTCATTGTGATGGTTTTGAGAAGATTTGTTTGATTATGAGTGAATCTTTTGTAAGATTGAATTAAAGAATATTGCAATAGTGACTAGTTTTTATAAGATCATGAACATATTGAGCTTAGAAGATTATTTTATAGTTTTTATTGAAATTAGGTTATGAGTGACATAAAAAGCTATTTCAATCAAACCTAGTCCTACTATTTGAATATAAATGTGAGCTATTCTTGGAATATTTAAAATGAAACAAATCACATTAATATCCTTAATTATTTTAAAGCTAATATAAGTTTATATCCAGTTCAAGTGTATATGAACTTTAAATGTTTAAAAATCAATCAACAAACAACTTTTTTCGGCTTTTTTCAATTATTCTATTCAAAATTCTTTTCTTAAACATTATTTTCAATTTTAAAAATCCCAAACCAACGACTAAGCATCTTATATTAAATAGAGACCGCCAAGAAACCCTTAACACCCCAAAAATATATTTTAAAATTTTTACTTACTTGTAAATCTCAGCTAATGAGCACATTTTATCAGGACTACTCCAAATTGCCATAGCCGTAAGGCTGATGTATGAATATGGTGGCTTTTGATCACACTGTTCACGTGATGGACGTGGCATTTTTTAATCTTAACCTTTGCTTTCTTTTTTTTAATAATTTTAAATCACAAATTTTTTTTTTATAATTTTTCCTTCATTCACTTTTATTTTCAAAAATAGTTCACAAAATTTCAATTTCTTCTTCTTCAAAAAAATATTTTTTTTTTACTTGTTTTCTTCTTTTTATTTATTTTACACCTGTATATCGCACTCAAGAACGAAACCGTCCGAACAGCTCAACGTTAAAATAAAAAATGGTTAGCTGTGAATGAATATTTGCTTTTTCACACCAAAATAAAGTCCATGTGCATACAAAGACAGTCCACAAAACTTGTTTTTCTCTATATACTTTAAATTGTGATTGTGTTTGTGACTATAGCAGGAGGATGGGCGTGGCAATTGCTTTCTACAGCCAATAGCTCACTCTCTTAACTTCATGTTGAAAAATTTTCAATCAACGGTCGATTTTATTAAATTCTTCTTGCTCTTTTGTTGCTGTCCGTGTGAGCTTTTTTACCACAGTTCTGTAAACAAAATGTTTAATAAAATTAAATATGAAATATTTCAAATTTCGGTGCAAATATGAAAAAAATCAATGGGATACCAACTAGGCGATTGCCTGTATATAGTCTGAATTATTTATCGCACTTGGTGGCCTCATGTACATGCCATGGCATTATTATTGCTGAATAAATAAAATTTAATAAAACAAAATTGTTGTAAAATATTTAAGCTAAAAAAAAATAATGATTAATTATATTGTGGATAATAACTGGTGATCGTACGGCCATAGGGGGAAATAAAAAAGCACTGTCATGGCTTGGCTTGGCTTGTTGATAGTTTAATAGATTTTTAGGTCAGATATGAGGATTACATTGCATGCTGAAGACATTTTTCAGCCACAGAGGAAGAAATCGTTTATTTTTTTTTAATGCTTTGGGAATTTTTTTCGCAGAGGCAACGACCACGATATACTTGAAGACATTCACAATTTCATAGTAATTTCCTTTTCAAAATGTGACAATCTTGATGAAAAATTGTTGTCGTGATGCTTCATCGCATAGAAATGCGTCTCATTGGATGTCAAGACCTTTCTATGTGTTTGACATGGAAGATTTGATGGTAATTATGAGGTTGGATGGGAAATAACTGTGTTTATATGCTCAGGTAATAATTTTGTATTTTCATGAATCAAAAATTCATTCATAATTTTAATTGAATTTAGGTAGAAATAATTTTTTTTATGTAGATTAGAATTTATTAATGAATTATGAATGATAAGATTTTTAATTGTTTTTCTTGATGATTTTATACCTAAAATGGTCATTATCAACGTTTTATGGAAATTTTTATGAATTAATTTACATTTTTTGTTGTGTATTATTTTATTCAAAAATATTATTTTTATTGAAAGTTTTCATATTTTTGAAATTTATTTCAATTTAATGAATGAATATTTAAAATGCTTAAAATATTTATTTAAAAGTTTAATTAAATCTTCAAACGGAGCAGTTTATTGATAATTTTCAAGCAGGTAATGATTTTATCCGTTTCCGTACGACTGTAATTACTCCTAAGTTCCATCCTTTTCCGTTATATTAATTTTTCAGGTCAATAAAACACTAAGATGCCACTACGAGCCTGAGCGGCTTGAGCTTACAAAGACCAGAAAAATGGAAACTTAAATTCGCAGTCCTTTAATAAACTTGTGATAACATAATTCAAAACACTTGCATATTTTAATAGTAATTAAAGTACACTAACACTACGAAAAAAAAATAAAAGACTTAATTTCATTAAGTCGAACACTGATGAAAGCCCATGACTCGCACGCAAACCTGAGGAAGATAAATAATTAATTGAAAGTCACATACAAATTTGGATCGAGCTTATAAAGGTGATTTCTGCGCGCTCTTGTGAAGTATATGGCAAATGCCAAATTTAGAACAAAATTTTTTATGACGCAAAAAATTCTTTTTTTGATGATTTTTCGTAGGATTCGAACTTATACAGATTTGATCAAACATTTCTCATGGTAATTTGCTATTAAAAAACAAGTGTAATTTACTAACAGTAAGTTGTTTTAATAATAGCTAGTAAATTGCAAGTAGTATAATTGAAAGACTAGCAATTTGCAGGTTAGTCTCGCTAGGGTATTATTTTAGAATATGCCGAGCTAGTCTATAAATCTGGCGACGTTAGAGAATCTTACACTTAATTTCATTAAGTCGAACACTGATGAAAGCCCATGACTCGCACGCAAACCTGAGGAAGATAAATAATTAATTGAAAGTCACATACAAATTTGGATCGAGCTTATAAAGGTGATTTCTGCGCGCTCTTGTGAAGTATATGGCAAATGCCAAATTTAGAACAAAATTTTTAATGACGCAAAAAATTCTTTTTTTGATGATTTTTCGTAGGATTCGAACTTATGCAGATTTGATCAAACATTTCTCATGTTAATTTGCTAGTAATTTGCTATTAAATAGTAAGTGTAATTTACTAATAGTAAGTTGTTTTAATAATAACTAGTAAATTGCAAGTAGTAGAATTGAAAGACTAGCAATTTGCAGGTTAGTCTCGCTAGGGTATTATTTTAGAATATGCCGAGCTAGGCTATAAATCTGCCGACGTTAGCGAATCTTACACTTAATTTAATTAAGTCGAACACTGATGAACGCCCATGACTCGCACGCAAACCTGAGGAAGATAAATAATTAATTGAAAGTCACATTCAAATTCGGATCGACCTTATAAAAGTGATTTCTGCGCGCTCTTGTGAAGTATATGGCAAATGCCAAATTTAGAACAAAATTTTTTATGACGCAAAAAATTCTTTTTTTGATGATTTTTCGAACTTAAGCAGATTTGATCAAACATTACTCATGTTAATTTGCTAGTAATTTGCTATTAAATAGTAAGTGTAATTTACTAATAGTAAGTTGTTTTAATAATAACTAGTAAATTGCAAGTAGTAGAATAGAAAGACTAGAAATTTGGGACCGCATTTAATTCCAAGTTGACAGCAAGTTTGCCCTTTGTTCAACTTGCTTCATTTACAGTCCTTTCTCCTTACTTCGATGACCCTACAGATCAATTGTGATCCATGGCCTCCCTCAGATGCCGCCTAAAACTGGCTCTATCGCTGGCTACCGCTTGCCAATTTCCTATACCAAATGCAATACTGTTTATTTCAACAGTCTCTTTACATGAGTTGTTTGGTCTTCCACGTGCTCTTTTTCCATCCACAAAGTCCGACTTAAAGACCTTACTTAATGGAGCTTCTCCAGGTCTCCTCATAACATGTCCAGCCCATCGGAGCCTGTTTCCTGTAATACTTTTCACTATATCAGTTGAACCCTTTCTATACTAAAACTAATCCTACCTAATCTTATAATAATAATTCAGCTATTCAACCATTTAAAACATTACATTCTTCGGATTAATAAAAAATCAGTAGCTATCGATTACAATCTTAAGTTCATTGCCTTTTTATAAAGCCAGCAATTCTGCTCACAAAATTTCATACTGATCATAAGCAATTAAGAAAGATAAAACTTAATTATATTTATATACCTAGGATTAATTAAAGCGAGCCAATAGAGAAATTGTTATTATTGTTGACACTTAATCTTACGAGGACCGAAATGCCTTACTCAATCAACATAACAATAATATCTTCCATTCAGATACGAAAATATTTAGCAGCCATAAAACTTGAGACATCTCAGACGTTAACTGCACATTTTAAATATTGATGATTAGAATAACAATGCGACAATATATTTGCTTACTCGAATCTAAATTTGAAATTCGAATAGGATGGCGCCTTGAATTTAAAACGTAACGGCTACTTTATTAAAATATCAACATAAAAATTTAATCTAAAGAATGTTTGATAATTCATACGAAATGGACACCTCATTTCAGTCACGTATGATTAGAAGTCGTCGCCTCAAAGAAATAAAAGAAGAGTGAAGATGAGAATAAGAAAAAAAAAAATAAATTAAATTAGCCTAAAGTCGCCATAAAAGCAATAATTTCATAACATAGAAGCTCCCTAACGAGGCTCAAAATACAACCTCATACCACATTATATTATCCATTACCAATAAGCATATCCATATTCGATCATGTACCAGAACTAATCCGAAAAAATGGGTTCCACCATATAAGTAAAAAATAATATTTTATGTGAACGAGGATGAAGAAAAAAAAAACAGCAAATGAAGGAAAGAGATTCTGATGAAACCAAATATTTAAAAAGATACATAAAGACCATGAATATCTGAGTTGTATATCCATAATAAATATATTTAATGGCCAATAAAATCGGATTTTCTTTCTTACTCACTCGCTCTTTCTTTATTCTATTTCGCTCGGTTTGTTTTCTTCTTTTGAATCAATTTCAAAATTAATAAGAGACGTGTAGAAATGTTTTTTCTTTCCTTTGTTACACAAGAACTTCATATTGCATCATTTATACTTATTTTATTTTCGTAGATGGACTGTAAGAGGCCTCCTCATAATACATCAAAAAATGCTAACGTGCCGCATTTATGGTTTATTGATGTTCCTCTTTTGACTCTCAATGCTTAAAAATCATTCGTGTAGAACCAATTGATAACTATATTGAATTTGTTTTCTCTCCTCGAAAATGAATGGATATACAAAGAAATGATGAAAATTAGACTCTACTTGTTCGCTGGACTGATAATAATGTGATGCAATTTGTTTTGTGTGAATTAAATTGTGATTATTTTCGTTGTTGACTGCTTTTTTGTTGCTTTAATTGGAATTGGAATTGAGGATGAAATTTGTTTTTGATTTGAGTTTACTATGGGAATTTTTGAAGTTTGATTGTTGTTTTTTGATATTTAAGCTGTAGAACTTTTTGTTTTATTGGTTTTTGATGATAGCTGATGTGGATTTCTATGTTTACTGCAACTTTACTGTAGTTAAAGGAAAGTCTCCCTAGCAGAAATTTACTAGTAATTTACTGGATAACTTTCCATTTGCTAGTCAAAATCCAAGTTCAAATCTTCGCCAAAGACCCGAATTTTCACTTGCTAATTGACTAGTCAATTCGCTTACAATTTAACTAGTAATTTACTAGCAAATTTTTAAAAAATTTAAATGAATATAATCGTTGATTTGCACGTGTTTTTTGATTTTTCTTATTCGTGTAAATTATTGTAAAAGTATTAGTGTGTACTTAACACTATGCAA